ATCGTTATCCTTAATGTAAGCTTTCGAAAAAGAACAATGAACATTTTGACCATGAGTTTTTCGTTGAAATTTCGTGTGTATGTTTACATATAATGCTTATCTTCATATCAACAGAAACTTAAGTGGGAACAATCTCAGTGGCTCAGTTCCTCAAGCTCTTCTTGACAGAGAAAAAGAAGGACTTGTGTTAAAGTAAGATTTCTTTTTCCATGAAGGAGATGTATTTGCTAATCATATAGTAAAAAAAAGTGGAGGAACTTCATTTTTGGAGACTATCTAACGGCTCTATCTTTTTTTTTTTCTTATAAGAGAATTTAAGTCGAATAATTTATCGCAAAATATGGTACTTGACAGTTCGATTATGCCTTTCCTATGCACGTTGATTAACAATTTCAATATCGCATATTTTTCGTTGTAGACTTGAAGGAAATCCAGATTTGTGCAAATCCAGTTTTTGCAATAAAGAAAAAACGAAAAAAAATTTCTTGGTACCGACTGTTGCATCAGCTGCCTCTTTGCTTATTGTAGTTGTGGTTGTGGCTCTCTTTTTTGTCTTCCGAAAGAAGAAGGCCGGGCCTTCAGGTAAGTTATGAACCATTACTAATTATTGACCTGCTATAAATCAATGCATATAGTTAACATAACCAAATACTTTACGATGTAGATCTACACGATCCACCAAGTATGACTGTCTCGAATGTCGAGAACACTAATCAATCATCAATCATATCGAAAAAGATTAGGTATACTTACTCTGAGGTTCAAGAGATGACAAATAATTTCGATAAAGCTCTCGGTGAAGGAGGATTTGGAGTCGTGTATCATGGTGTTGTTAATGTTACTGAACAAGTAGCCGTTAAATTGCTATCTCAATCATCTTCTCAAGGCTATAAGCATTTCAAAGCAGAGGTACCATTTTTCCAGTGATCCTCAATAGAGATTTAGTTGATTTGTATATCTTAAAGAGCATATGCTGATGGATGATTGGTTAGGTGGAACTCCTTATGAGAGTTCACCATATAAATTTGGTGAGTCTTGTTGGGTACTGTGATGAAGGAGAACACTTGGCTCTTATTTATGAATACATGCCAAATGGAGACTTAAAGCAACATCTATCAGGTAATATCACAAATATACTGTTTTGTTAAAATAATAAAACCTAACCATGATATAAAATTTCATTTGAGTACAGATCATAATTTATGTGGTATGAAATGTGTGTCTAATTGATATAGGAAAGCATGGCGGATTCGTCCTGAGCTGGGAAAGTAGACTAAAAATTGTTGTGGATGCAGCACTAGGTATTCATTAAACTTTAAGACAAATTTTTAGTTAAGACTTCTTTTATGGTATTAGTTTGGCCTCGACTGGATTAGAAAGGAACCTTATGTTACCATATGATGATAACGAAATTCATCTTTATTCATTTTCTAACAAATAACGGTATTAAATTTAATATGCAGGATTGGAATATTTACATACTGGATGTATACCACCAATGGTTCACAGAGATATCAAAACTACGAATATACTTCTAGATCAACATCTCCAAGCCAAATTAGCTGATTTTGGGCTTTCAAGATCTTTTCCAATCGGAAATGAAAAACATGTGTCAACTGTTGTTGCTGGTACTCCTGGATATCTTGATCCTGAGTGAGTATGACACTTTATATATATTCTAAAGTTCACAAATCACCATTCTTTTTGATACTTTATAATCACAAAACCATTTTTTTTTGCAGGTATTATAAAACAAATTGGTTGACAGAAAAGAGTGATATATACAGTTTCGGAATTGTATTGTTAGAGATGATTACAAACCGCCCTATAATTCAGCAATCCCGTGAAAAACCTCACTTAGTGGAATGGGTCAGTTTTATGATAACCAAAGGAGATATTAGAAATATTATGGATCCAAACCTCCACCACAATTATGACATTGGTTCTGTCTGGAAGGCCATTGAAATAGCAATGTCATGTGTGAATCTTTCTTCTACAAGACGACCAAACATGTCTCAGGTTGTGAATGAATTAAAAGAATGTCTGATATCCGAAACCTCTAGGATAGGAGAGGGACGAGACATGGAATCTAAAGGTTCAATGGACTACAGCAAAGACATTTATAATGAGGTAATCCCTCAAGCTCGCTAGCTCGCCAAGTTTATTCTTGCTTGTTTTTCTTCTCATGCATGTATATTCAAATTTGTGTTTTAAAGAGTTTTTTTTTTTGCCAATAATAACTAAGGCTTTCATTTATAACATGTAATACTGATGTTGAATTGTCCTAGTGTGATATATATTTTGTGAAATACATTTGGTGAAATTTCTTTAAATTATTTCATGAATTTGTAATTCACAACTAAGTCTCGTCTTTGTTTCTATCTCAAGACAGGCGTTAGGTTGTTCCCACTTTGGGTATTTTTAAAACCAAAGGAAGAGTTGAATATACCAAAACTTATATATTTCCTTCAAAGCTTAAGAGCTGTTTATATTTCTTTCAAAGAAGATAAATAAACAAGATATAAATGGTCTAATAAACCAAAAGGTGGTCAAAGTTTAATTAGTCTAGGAATAAAACATGAACGTATAGAACTTGTTTACAAGCGTATATCTTGTTGATCCTAAGTTTGATAAGATGTATAATAATAAATGTTACGAAGAACTCCAATAATAAAATAACACAAGACTTTAATTTTCACTATCGAGTTTTTCTCTGGAAATAAGAAAGATAAAAACTGCTATCTGGAATATATGAGCAACACCTCTCAAATAAATTCAGTAAAGAGTTTTAAAACCCTTAATTTCTTTTCAAACTTTCAAATCTGTCGCTTGCGAATATAAACCCCAGATTTTCCCTTTCGTCAGGTTTTCAACGCCAATATATAGAAGGAGCCCTCGGCGCATTAGTGAGAGGATTACTACAATTTCAAATAAATATATAGAATGTATTGGTATTATGTTGATACGTGTTTTAGGAACAGTGCCGGTCCGACATCTGTGAGTGCCCTACGCAAAACTTCAAAAAGTATGTTTTTTTCATATACTACAAAAACTATTAACGAATCATTATCGGATTTGCAGCTTTCTTTTTTAAAACAAATTTGCAAGAAAAAAACAATAAATTCAAAAGCAAAACTAATAATTAACCTCAAAAACTAGGATTTTTCACTTGTAAAATAAGCAAATTGACTCACATACACGCATAAGAGTTATCATGTAGCGTCAGTTTTTTTTTTTATATTCAATCAGCGTTTTAGAGTTTTTTTTACTAAATAAAAAATTTAGTGTTGAAGATAATTAGTTTGTCTTTAAAAGCTCATATCATTTTTTTAAAAAGGCCATACAGAACAAATTTATAGCTTTTGCAACATATCCAAAACTTAACAAATTTTTAGTTTAAAAGGTCCTAAAATTTTGAGACCCCAATCGCTGTCTTTAGTTGATTGGCCTCTGCGCCGGACCTGTTTAGGAATATTGTTTTGTCTTTTTTTTTTTGTATAGAAAAGGATAGAAATATTTAAGTTACAAAACTAAAAAAATATGAAACCACGTATTAAAATATAATCAACTAATTGAAACGTGTTGAGAATGATAAGACTTTATATAATAACATTAACAAATTTTGTATTTTTCCTGGTACGATAAAAAATTTTACTTTTTTTCTGTGACTATATTAACGACAACAAAATTAATAGAATGAGGTTAATGATTTAATATATTAACATTCTTGATATAGTAAGGAACTTTTATTTCTTCTTGTATATAATAACAAAAACAATATTTCTACCAAATTAGTTAATATTTTAATATATTAATGAAAAACGTTTGAATATATCAACAGTTATATATCTTTGAATATATTAATGAAAAATAATTTCAACCAAATTAGGTTAATATTATAATAACATTTTTTTTTATAGTTTTATGACTAGAAGGTTTTGGGTCCACTTTCCAATAAACTTCAGACCATAAAATTTAACTATAGTTTTGAGAGCAAACCTTCTTAATAAGTATTGAAACCGTAACTTCTAAGATCCATGCATTTTCGGTAACTAAAAGGGCTTAACCATTATACAAACTCGTTATTGGTCACGAAATTTAGTTTTCCTAGTAAACCACATAACTATGGATGTGACTTAGGTTTGGAGGTTCGAGTATCTATGTCATTTTCTACTAAGTTCCATTCGATTTCGTTTCTTTTAGTTACAGAGTTTAGGATCTATATGCGTACCGGTTATATAGTTCAGGATCCATATATGTATAAGCTAATCTTTTTGCAGCAAATGACCGTTGTTTTTAATAAACGATTTTACTTTTGGAATAATTAGACAGAAACATGAGTTGAGCTTTGACTAGACGAAATGGAGTTGAACAGGGGCTGACACAATGTCATTTTCCTCAATAGTTGGGTTCATTTTTCGTTACCAACGTTTTAACAAACATATATAATATATTTCATAAAAGGGTATGAAATTTTAGAAGATCTACCACTATATGAAATTATAAATTAACTTTCACAAAACTAAATTTGCAGAACTAATTAAAAGATTAAAAAAGAGTCTTTTTTTTTTTTTTATCAATTCTCTTCAACACACACACATCTACTCCTACTGATTTATCAATTATCAGTCTAAATGATTTTCTAAATTGGCTTTCTCTTCAGCGCCATGCTATTGCGCTAAGCAGCATGCCTAGTGATATTTGAGCTAAATTCCATCATGATAATATAATAATAAATAAAATTTATCAATAAAATGCATGGTAATAGAACATGGTCTAATTAGCATTCACCTGTTAAGTAAATATATCAATATCTGTTCATTATATAAAAAAAATTACATCAATATATGACAACATTTTTGGGCTTCTACTCTTTCTACCTATTGTTTTGAAAAGAGTACTGGTCCAAAACGCAACACCCACAACCAAACCAAACCAAACCAAACATAACATCCACACTCACAGTGAAAACCAATAAATGACCAACAAAATTAAAAATATAATCTTCACGTATAAGTCAGGGGAATTTGAAAAAACTTAGTGATCATAGGATATTTTGGATAATTTATCGCGCACTAGGGGTAACTTCAGTTGTAAAGCTTGTGCTCACTTCAACGGAACTTCTTGAACCCATGTCTTGTCTCCCTCCTCGCCTTGAGTTGTCTAATGTTAAACATTGTTTTAGTTCATTAGTAACTTGAGACATGGTTGGCCTTTTCTCTGAAGAAGGATTCACACACGACATAGCTATCTCAAGAGCCTTCCAGACAGAAGTTGGCTCATAATCTCTATTGAGTCTTGGATCCACAATGCTTTCAATATCTCCCTTAGTAAGCATGTATCCAACCCATGCTGCTATGTGTGTCCTTTCTCGAGTTTGCTGAATCACAGGTCGACTAGTGATGATCTCCAATAACACAATACCAAAGCTATATACATCACTCTTCTCATTCAATCTATTTGTTTGATAATATCTGCAAAATAAGACATGAAATTTCATTAATGGTTAATAAAGTGAAACAAGTTTATTAAAAAAAAAAAAGATTAATAAGGGAAACAAGCTTTGGCTAGAATTAGTTTGATAATGTTACACTTACTCAGGATCAAGATATCCAGGGGTACCAGCAACAACTGTTGACACATGAGTTTCACCTCCAATCGGAAAAGATCTTGAGAGGCCAAAATCTGCGAGTTTCGCCTGGAAGTGCTCGTCCAAAAGTATATTTGTTGTTTTGACATCGCGATGTACCATTGGAGGCTGGCACCCGGTATGCAAATACTCTAGTCCTATAAATATGAAATTAAAATCATTTATGTTAGATAGTCGATATAAGGAGTTGATGGATGTTGTGATCGAAACAAACCTTGTGCTGTTTCCACGACAATTTTTAGCCTACTTGACCACTTCAACGGAGAGCCACCACGTTCTCCTATAATTTAAAACATCTGAGTGATGTTGTAAAGATATATAACATCAAAATGGCAAAAGATGTTTATTATGTAATGCGGTAAATTCAAATTTATACCTGATAGATGCTGTTTTAAGTCTCCGTTGGGTGCATACTCATAAAGGAGGGCCAAGTGGCTATCTTCGTCACAATATCCAACCAAGCTAACTAAATTGACGTGGTGAACTCTCAAAAGAAGTTCAACCTGACCAGCCGTGTTAACAAAATTTAGACCCATTGCATGTTTTTTATGAGAGTAATCTATGTTTAAATAGTTTATAACATATGTATTATGTATAGACATCAACATACCTCTGCTTTGAATTCTTTATAGCCTTGTACTGAAGATTGAGAGAGTAGTTTAACAGCTATTGGTTGCGTACCATTCAAAGAACCGTGATACACTACCCCGAACCCTCCTTCTCCAAGAACTCTTTCAAAATTATCTGTCAATGCTACCACCTCAGAATAAGTGAACCTTTTTGTCTGCGTAAATATGGACGGTCTACTTGGTAACTCGCGATCGTGTTGAACTGTAGGTAAAGAATCAACTGTCCACCAAAAAAAGAAAAAAAAAAAAAAGAAACAAATATTCCATGAGACTAGGCATGTTTTAATATGTCATCATGCATGCATGTTACAAGAAGGATATATACCTTGCCTTGGCCTTCTCTTTTTGAAAACAAAAAGGAGAATCAGCACAACTACAATGATGAGCACAGAAGCTGCTGATGCAACAACTGCTAAAACGTACTTTTGATTGTTATTTTTGCATGACGCATCAACACAAAACTTTGGGTTTCCTTGTATCCTTAAGAAAATTAGTGTTGTTTTATAAGAGTGAAACTAAACAAAAGCTCGTGGAGAGTTTATAGAAAAAACACATAATGTGTAAAAATCTTACGTTAGCTTTAGCCCATTCTTTTCTCTATCATTAAAGGCTTTAGGAAGAGGACCCGTAAGATTGTTCCAGTTTAAATTTCTGTCATTAAAATATTACATGACAAAGTTGACAACAGCCGAATTTACACAGTGAAAAATAAGTGGCCAATGAACGTTAGTTTAACTCAACTTACATGATAGATAATGACTTCATGCTAGCTAGAAATTCAGGCACCCCTCCAGTAAAACTGTTATTTGATAAATCCCTGAAATTTATAAAATAGAAAAGGGTCATTTCATTTTCGTTGATTGGATAAAAAAATAAATAGATGGTCCATTTCTAAAAAAAAGCTCGTTTGCCGTGGTCCAACTTAAGATTTTATGAATGCAATGAATGAGAATGTAAAAGACGAAAAAAGTAGTACGCATTTACAATTTTCGAAGCTCGGTCAAATTTTGGAAGGCAGGCGTAATGACCCCTTTTAATCCGCGTGACGATAAATCTCTGTTTAAATTATTACAACGAGTAAGTATTAGATACTTGAGAAATTTGGGTTTTAACTAACAGGAAATAGTGTATGAGATAGTGATCTTACAAGGAAATAATTCTTGGAGGAGTAGACTTATTTGTGTAGCTGCACTTTATATCTTCCCATTTTAAGAGTTCAGGGACACATGGATCTCCTTGCCAACTTATTATGTTTAATCCATAAGTTTCTTGGATATTCTTCATAGCAGCAACTAACACAGAGGTCAAAGAGGAAGTAAAAAATTAGCATACACGATATCAGACGTTTCCTAAATCAGGCTATATAATAGAGGAATGAATAGTGAAATACCATCGTTTGGATTTGTTTCAGCATATAGAAATTCTAAAACACTGAATCCCTCAATAGCATTAATAAATGGTGGAAGAGTTGATCTTTCAGTTCTTACGAGGTCCAAGTCGCAAGAGCCAAATTTGCATTTTTGTGGTGATATGTTGTATACTGTTTCCGATTGTAACACCTTAGGACTATAAGCTTTCTGAATAATATTTTCATCCAATAAGATGTCGAATTCCCTAGTATCATTTGCTTTTAGGGTTTGGATCTCGGCGAAATGAAAGTACACATTAACCTTGTCACTATCGGCATCAGGATACAAGTAAAAGTACAATGGGTTGCTGGCATTTCTGGGAGAAATACCCGATCTACTTACAGCATCTGGCACTGCAAAAGGATTAGATGACGTCACATTGAGAGTGGTGTTTACATTTGTTTCAACCCAGTTAAATCGATCCCATTTGCGATCAAAGACGTCATTAGGATACCTGAAAAAACTTTGGGTTAGCCATGCAAACGTAAATGGATCATGTTAACTGGTCGCATGTTATTGCGATTGTTGAGTGGAAATGTATTAGTTTCAAGGTCGTTCAATTTCAATCGTGTGTTACACTACACGTCTATATATTCAAACTAACATCTTAGGACTATAAGCTTTACTTTTCCATAGAATCAGTTTCGTTGACTTGGTCATTTTGAGCATGTCGTTAAGTTTCTTTTAGTTTTCCGTTAAACTAAAACAACGTTGTTTCGAAATACACTTTTCATATATTATATAAATTTTAGGTCATATGTTATCGTGGTTCAATGGTTGAGTGATTCTTATGTGTTTAAAAGGTCAGTAGCTCGATTCCGCATGTGGATTAGTTTTGCTTTCTTATTTTTGACGCTAATGGAAAGTTAATCCCGTGATCATCTTTTCAATGGAAACTTAAAAATATGTCGACAACGGTCAAGTCAACGAAACTTAACAATTTATCAAGAAATCAAACTAAAATTTAAGATTAAAAGACAAGATTAAAAAAAAAAAAGTTCTCCTCCTTAACCTAAAGTCAAAAGCTCCAACCGCTACCGCTTTTGCTCGCCTCTCCGGTGGCCGGTTGCGACCGGTGCCGTGAGAGGGCTTCCTAGTTCTGTTAGATATCTCTGGTTCTGTGCCGCGGTAAGATTTCATCGGCTCTGGATCTTGTCTTCAATCTCGTAGCTGGGTTTTGGAGATCTGATTTCTCGACTCCTCTTCCCTCGTGTTTTCCGGCGATGGAGCTTGCTTCGTTTCTCGGTGGTGTTGCTGCTACGGCCGCGCTACCCAGATTCAACGGATTCACTCTCTCTCAAGCTAACGCTTGGGAGATCCGCCGCGTTTTGTTTCAATTTCTGGTGGTAGGTGACTTCTCCGATGTTCCTGCTTTGAGGACGGTGGTTTCGGGTTGAGAAGTAGCCTCTGTTTGCCCCGAGTTGTTTCTAGTAGTCTTTAGGAGCAAGTGGTGTCGAGTGGTTTTGGCGATTGATTCAGAGCTTCGTCGGGCTCTTGGGCTGGCTTTCTCCTCTGTCTCTCCCATCGCTAAATCCTCGGCCACTTACGCTACTCTCCTTTGGATTGGATTGGGTCTTTGCTTTTGTTTGCTCTGTTTTGGGTTCTTGCCTCGTCGTTTTCACTTGGCAATTGAATGGTAGCTTCTCTGTTGGTCAAATTTGCCTAAGGACAGCAGCAGATCTTTTAGGAGAGCTATTGTTGTGGCGTGTCTTGTGTTGTTTTCGTCGTGGCTCCTCCTTTCAAGCATCCCGTCAGCTCCATTGTGTAAGTGCGGATGAGGTAAAATAAATTGCAGAAAGTAAACGAGACAAGAACTTTGTTAACGAGGTTCGGTTTTTCCTACTCCCCGGGACCAAGTCCAGATTCGATTTCACTAGAACAAGAAAGCAAATTACAACCAATTCGCAAACGCGTAAAACAAGCCCAACCCTCTTGATTTACCGCTCCCTTCTATAACGTGAAACCTTAAGGATAAATCTCTACCCTTAACTAAACTCTCCTGAGCCTAGATTTAATCAGGATAACCTAACCCTGAGCTAAACTCCCCTGAGTCTAGACTTTAATTCTCCAAAGTTTCTCGAACAACCACCACACACGAATCGTCACACCAACGAACCCAATGGTCACCAAAACTCTCCAACGAGAACCTTCAACACCAACACACAAATAAGCTTGATCACACAAGCATTTAACCCGCGAAACTACGTCGCACACGATCACACACACAATCTCTCACATCGAATCTCCTTGGGATTTTTACTCTTGCAAATCCACATTCTCATAAGGTCACATCCCCCTTATATAACAAAAAGAAACTTGCGCCTCAAGCTCTTCCAATCACACATAAGAGAAAGTTTCCAAATCCCATAAGGAAAAGGTTTTCCTTTTTGTCAATTTCCTTTTCTCTTCAAGCAAACTTCCCCTTTACTTACATGACTCCTTTTGCTTCAAACAAAGATAATTTTCCTTTTCTTGACTTGACAAACGCTCCAACACCCAAGTACTCGAGCCCCCCCATCAGCAATTATGCATCTCATCTTCCTGAATCACATCTTGTACTACTTTCTGTACTACTTCAACGACTAGTACAGAACACCAAAATAACTGCATCTTCACATTGATGTTGCTTTGGTTATGTCATGGCCACCGGTGGTGGCTGCTTTTTCATCTCCATTTCATAAGCAGCTTTGGTTTCCTTGTCTTGATGTTATCTTCTCCGCCCTGGTTTTGGTTGTGTCTTATTGTTGTTGCTGTTGTGAGGTGTGGTTAGCGACGCCTTGAATTCTTGTTGTGGTTTGCGTTTGTGCTGAGATCTAGAGGAGCTAGTAAGGCTAAGGGCGTTCGGTGTGGTATTATTTGCAATTATTTAGCTCTGTACTAGCCGACTTCGGGGAAAGAACTTGGTAGGGTGAGCTCGCGCTGTTTGCTGGACTTAGCTCGTGAGGTTTCATTCTGAGATAGCTCATGGATTTGCTTGCCGTTGACGGCTTAGTCTTGGGCCTCCGTTGAAAGGCTTCTAGATTTTCTGCCCTCGCAATTTTCAGCTTTTACGAAGTGCTTCCGCCCTTTATCTTCAACAAAGCAACCGAGAAGAGCGTCCAAAATCGTTTTTCACTTCGTCTAACTCCATTAACCTAGTGTTGATATTGAGTGGATGGACTGAGTTCTTGTGTTTGAATTATGCTTCCATGTTTTTAGCTTTTTTTGCCATGGGACCATTACTTTAGGTGTATAATCTTTTGATTGTAAACCTATATCATTTTCATTTTCTATGAAATATTTACCTTCTTAGCAAAAAAAAAAAAAAAAAAAAAATTTAAGATTTAAATGATATTTCGAAAATTCAATACTTTTTCGTCCCAAATTTGAAAATTCATATTTTCGACATTTTTTCCCAAATTTCCCAAAAATATTTAGGGAAAATATTTAATTTCACCTTCTAGTGTTGCTTTTTCGGTTGCCATTGTGTTCACTTAAGGGTAAAATAAACCCATTTCAGCCTCTCTCATTATCTTTCTCTAGAGCAAATCTAAAATCTTGATGAAAAAACGTAAAATCATATCATAAAAAAGACTATCTTTCAATTGTTTAAAAAATTACATACCGTATTAATCCAAAAGAATCGCTTGTATAGGTCCGCCGGTATATTAGGTTCAAGGGACCGAGTTGTGTCATATAAGAATCATTTCTTAATGGCCGTAACTCCAAGGTAGATATCATTGGTATAGTTTCTCCTGTCTTGATAAGACAAATCTGCAATAAGTTTGACTTTGACATGTAAATGACCTCACGATCATTTTCGAATTCCAAATCCACCGTAATCCACTTGTTAGGCCCAACATGTAAGTCAAATACGGGATATACATTAAGGCCATCATAATTTCCATAGGAGAACCCGGCTCTTATAAGATAGTTAATTCCCTTGTTTACTGTCAGATTATAACAGTTTCGTATTCCGTCCGGAAAATATCTGAGATCCCTGTACTGCTTGTAGATATAAGTCGCATCCGCTTCACCACGTTTACCATTTTGGATGAAATTGATGTCAGATGAGTATGTTAATCCGGTTACCGGGTCGGTATATGGAGATTCATCAAGGGGTAAACCACAGTCTAGACTGATGAATCCTGGTGAAACAAAAAATCACGGTGTAAATAACGAGGGTGATTGTTTGGAACTGTAAAGTAGTTTAGAGTCTAATTTTCAGAAATCAATAGTTTACTAGTTTAATAGCTCTAAAAACCCTCTTAAAATCACAATCACTTTGTAAGAAATCAATTTTTTTGCAATAACTGAAAAAATGTTTATACAATAACAGTCATAACCAATAGCTTTTACTTTGTTTTTTTTTCCTAATAAAATACGATCAAGCTTAAAGAAGACTAATAAAAATGTTTTAAAAATTGATAGTTTTCAAATTTCGAGTAAGTTCTTTGGGATATACAGTTGTTATGTGAATTATATCATGCATACAACTCGAAACAATCGACCAACAATCGAGTCAGAGCGAATTAGAAAGAGATAATCTTCAAACTTAGCCCATAAAAAAAAAAAAGAGTTAATCTTCAAATTTTATGGCAAAATTCTGGGATCTATAGTTGTTATATGAATTGTACAGTGATCATGCATACAACTCGAAACAATCGATCATCGATCTCGGAGAAACCGAGTTACTACCATGATTAATTATCATTCTTTAAGTGACAAAGAGTGAATGAAACAATGAAAAATACATTAACAAATATTTTAAAAACCACCTTGTTGATCAGGCTGAGCTTGAACAAGATGTATAATGGCAAAAACCCCGAAGCTCAACGCCAGTAATAGTTTGCGATAAGATTCCATTTTAAAGTTATCATAGAAACTTTTGCTTCGCAAGATGATATGAAGTATATGAGATGATATATTGATTTTCCATGCGAAAAGAAATACCTTAATATTTAAAATATATCAACATCAACATGTTGATGTGGAAAATTCTCGAATTATAATCTGTTCATGTTAATCCCATCACGTCTCTCAACTGGTCTAATAAAAAACATATACGTATATAGTCCAACTTGTGGGAAAATGTGAATATTAAATCAAAGCACCTGATGTTATCTCTGTTTAAAACAATGTAAAACCTGCCAAGTTGATATAATGTCAAAGCTTCATAACTATATGATAATTCCACCAATGACTTGTACAATATAACAATAACTTGATTGGAAACGGCCAATTCATATATGGACTATACTGTCCCTCATTACGATAGGTCTATGACGTTTTGAACTTTGATATTCGTACACGAACTATGACATTGACTTAATGCTACCTGAATTATTTAAATTAGCTTAAACCAACATTCACCTTAGCTAGGTAATTAAATCTACTAGATTTTATATCCGCGCGTTACGCGGGATTTTAATTTAAAATTTCTTTTACTAATAAAAATTTTGAGCATAAAATATAATTATTTAAATTTAAAAGATAAATATTTGAGCATATATAATAATAATTTAAATTTTAACATCATTTCATATAAAATATAAATATACCCAGTTTCATGAACATTATTTAGTGTAAAAATACATCTATAATATCATGTTGCTAGAACCGTTTTAGCAAAACTTTTTATATCCATTGAAGCATGTGCATGGTGCCATAAGAGAATTCTCGACTAAGTTATCAATGTGCCTATTTTATCTAACTTTTCATGATTACACGACCAAATGGTTAAGCCCAATTTTGAATCTAATGATCTGTTTAATAATGTGTGTGATGTATTTTTTTTTTTAAACTCATTCGTTTCACACTATGCATGAGATCTCAAAGAATTTGACCTTATTCATGTGTATTATATTTCTAAGTTTTAAAAATTTATTTCAAACACTTTTAACTACTAATTATTTCGTCTTCTTCTATGATGCACTCGTTGACTCTCGACATGTACTTTATTTTCACCTTCTATTGACTCACATATTATATATATTGGACTATGAATTGATTTTCAAGACATATCATTAACTAATTTCTCCTTACTATCTTTTAATACTCAATTTTTTGGATTAAAAGCATTTGATTCAATTGATGAAATATCAATCTTGTTTTTCTTTTGATCATGTTATAAAGTTGTAGTTGCACTTGAGAATATGCTATACAAATTACATATCCCTTTTTTTAACGGCTTACATTTTATTTTCTATATATTTTGTGTAGAACTCATGGATAATGTGGTCATTGATTATTTATTTTTTTAAAGATGGATTATAATGTTTCAAAAATTTCAAGATTTTTTTTTTAATTTCACAAGATAAAGTGTGTCTCTTACAATACCTCCGTCTTAAATTATAAATTTAAGTTGAGTTTAGTAATCATTTATTTTTCTTTAAGTAAAAAATTTAATACTAAATAAAATATGTAGTATATTGTTTCGCTTTAAATTTTATTTTCTTATTTAAAATTATACATATAGAATTACATAAATTTATTTTTATTCTACCATATATTTGAAATTTACTTCTATTTTAAAACTAATTAACACAATTAAAGATTTGAAGTATGATCATTTGTAATTTTTATCTATTAAAAGTGGAAGTATATTATTACTAATAATAATATTTTTATAGTTTTATTATTATTTTAACATCTAATTTATTTTACATAATTTTTTTTTGTTTATTTAAATTTTTTATTAATTAAGTAACATAAATATGCACTAAATGAATGTTTAGAGTGTATTTTAATGTAAAATAAATAATATTGCTTAGATGGATGCTTATATGGATGCTTAAGTGGATAGGCTAGATGGAGAGAAGACTCTCCCATTATATATATAGATTTCTATATTTGCTAGGTAGAATGCCACGTAATTCGTAAACAAATTTTAGTTTGTGAGTTACCAAATATATAGTCTATTGTATATCAAATCAACGTGGCAGGTTTTACAATGTTCAAACGAAGATAATATCAACGTGACATTATATCAAAAACGTAGCCTTATCGACGTCGGAGGCACTCTTGGACGATACAGTTTACGAGATTTTTCTATTCCCAGAGTTCTTCGAAGTTTTCGGATTGATGCAAGAAAAAGCAAGGAATAGTTATTTTAACGCAGCTGTATATTTTGATTAATTCACCATTCCCTCAAGTTGGACTATCGATGTATATATACTGTTTCTCAGACCAGTTGAAACGTGAGGAAGTAAATGAGCAGATTAATTCCAGAAATTTTCAAACTAATTGACATTTAGATGTATTTATTTTTCATTTTATCTGATGTCACGCTATATTTCATGATATCGTTAGCAAGTGCGAAGAGGGTATATCACATAAACCCCACACAAAAAAAGTGGTAAGAGTATTTTGGTCAAACTACACAAAAAACAGTAACTTTTTATTTACCATTTTACCACTAAAATGATTTTCCTTATTATGTTGAAAAAACTTACCTATTTAGACCTTACAATTCTTTCATATTGAAACATTGATTTTGCAAAGAAATCTCTTTTTTTTTTTTATTATGTCTTCTGAATCCATTTTTTCGTACCGGGTCCAAAAAAAAGTATTTGTTATATCCTTATGTCTCTCAATAAAAGGTCTATTTTGTTGGTCCAAGGTTTGAAGCAGAGTCTGCAACCTCTTTTTACACTTAATAAATGACGATATAATTGTAATTATAAGGTTTGTAGAATTGTAGTTTATGTTTTTATCTTATTTTTGAGTCTTTTATCGTGTTTTTCAATTATTTTAGTACTTTGGGAGTCTATAGAATATTTAAAGTCATAAATAGGTGAAAAGATACGAAATCAAGCTACAAAAAAAAACAAAGTTGCAAACCACCAAGGAGATGGACTAGTCAAAAGGAACGGTCAGACGAGCTTTCACACACTTGGTCTGTTGTTAGCAGAAAATGGACCAGTCTATCTTTAACTAGCATGCAAGAGACTAAGAAGTTTAAAGACTAATCGAATCGGAAAACAAGCTACGTTGTTTGTAATTAAGATTGAACTAGCGAACTTAGGTAGTGAGAATTGATTCGGGACAATCCTAGTTAAATTAAGATACTTTTTTTTTTTTAAGAATGTAAAATTTATTCAAACCAAAAAACTGTTTTAAGATGTGACTTTGGTGCCTAATCATTTGAGATTTAAAACTGTAAATTAGATCCTTGTCGTTTTCGTGGGACTATGGATTACGGGTAGCAAACCATAATTTGAGGCCCTCTTCATACGTGTGTACTCCTTGAATTGGGATGGAGCTGAAGCGATTTCTATAGAGTTATAGAATTGGATGATTTTATTAGACAATGATGTACAAGTATATATATACGACAGAGAGGCTAATGTTGCCCTAATAAGACTTAATTTCACAATATTTGATTGAAATATGATTGACATATTCAGCTCCTTGATTCTCTCCTTAATACGCCCCCTCAAGATGGAGGGGGTCTAGCAACTCCAATCTTGTTGGTGAGCAATTGGAATGTGGACCTTGGGAGAGGCTTTGTCAATGCATCAGCAAGTTGATCATGAGTGGAGATGTGAGCTACACGGAGAGCACCGGATTGAACTTGGTTGCGAACAAAATGATAATCCAAAGCGATATGTTTCATCCGGGAGTGAAAAACGGGGTTTGCACATAAGTAGGTTGCACCAACATTATCACAATAGATGACGGGAGCTGTGGTGATCGTAATGCCGAGTTCACTTAGTAAGGAGCAGATCTAAGCCACTTCAGCGGAAGTATTTGCCACCGCTCTATACTCAGCTTCCGTAGACGATCTTGCAACACCTTTTTGCTTCTTTGAGGACCATGCTATTGGGTGATTACCGAGATAGACAACATAAGCATTGGTAGAGACGTAGTCTTCGTTATCTCCTGCCCAATCTGAATCGGAAAAAGCATGTAAAGATGGAGAGTTTTTGCGACTTAGGAAGATACCATGGGAAGGAGTGCCCGCTAAGTAACGAAGAACTCTTTTCACCGCATGCCAGTTTTCATCGGTAGGTAAGTGCATAAACTGTGATAGTCGGTTTGTAGCATACGATATATCTGGCCTAGTAAACGCCAAGTATTGAAGGCTACCAACAACGCTCTGATATTCAGTGGCATCCGGGAGGGGCGTGCCACTGTTGAGTGTAAGTTTTGGGGAAGACGCCATTGGTGTGGTGACTGGTTTTGCGACGAGCATGTTGGTGCGTTCGAGAAGATCCAGTATGTATCGGCGCTACGACAAGTAAAGACCAGAAGGTAACCCTTTGGCTTCGATTCCCAAGAAGTACGAAAGTTCTTCATGGTCTTTGACAGAGAAACGGGCTGCAAGTGTTGCAAGTGTCTCTTGAAGTAGACCATTATCATTTCCCGTGACCAGTATGTCGTCTACATAGATCAACATATAAAGGAAGGAACAGCCTTTCTTCAAGATAAACAGTGACGTATCCGCAACAGAGTTCTGAAAACCAACGGATAGAAGGAAATTTCGCAGCTCAAGATACCAAGCACGTGGTGCTTGTTTGAGGCCGTACAAAGCTTTCTTGAGATGGCATACGTAATCTGGTCGATCTTGATCAATGTAACCTGGAGGTTGGACCATATAGACATCTTCATTTAAAGTACCTTGTAGGAAAGCATTGTTGACGTCTAGTTGACGAATGGACCAATCTCTGTTAACCGCAATGCCAAGAACGAGACGAATGGTTGTGGATTTGATAACCGGGCTGAAAGTCTCCGAGTAATCCAACCCTTCTTGTTGATTGTAACCCTTAGCCACAAGACGAGCTTTATACCTGCGAATCGAACCATCAGGGTTATACTTCGTAGTAAAAATCCACTTACAGCCCACGATATTAACATTTGTTGGC